GTTCGCGTTGCCTGGGCCGCGTTCGCGAAGGCTTGCCCTGCTCCTTCTTCGCGTTCGCGTTCACAGTTTCACGTTCGCGAAGGACAAATCATCAGCCCCTCAACTCCTCTTCGCGAACGCGGGACTCCCTTCGCGTTCGCAAAGAAGGAAACCAGACTTTAGCAACAACAGTCCAAACAGCTCCAATTTGGTCCGAAACTACTCCGAAACACACCCGAGCCTCTCGGGACCCCACCCAATCATGTCACCCAGTCCCATAACATATCACAGACTCGCTCGAGGTTTCAAATCACATCAAATTACGCCGAAAATACAAATCGCACCACAAATCGAACTTATGAACTTCAAAAACTCGTGCCGAAACCTATCAAACCAACCCGAAATGACGTCAAATTTTGCAGGCAAGTCCCAAATAACATAACGGAGCTGCTCCAACTCTCAGAATCGCATTCCGACCCCAATATCAATAAGTCAACCCCTCGGTCAAACTTCCCAAAAATCCGACTTTCGCCATTTTAAGCTTAAATTGGCTACAGACCTCAGATTCACAGCCCGGACACGCTCCTAAGTCCAAAATCACCCAACGGAGCTAACGGAACCGACGAAACTCCATTCCGGAGTCGTCTTCACACAGTTCCGATTACAGTCAAAATCCTAAGACTTAAANTAAAACTTAAGCTTCCGTCTTAGGGACTAAGTGTCCCAAATCACTCTGAATCATCCGTAAATCAAACTCGACCACACACACGGGTCATAATACATATTGCGAGGCTGCTCAAAACCTTAAGTCACTGAACGGGGCGTAAATTTTTAAAACGACAAGTCGGGTCGTTATATATATATATATATATATATATATGTATATTACATATTTAAATACAAATAACATACATTTATGACGATTATATTTTGTAGTGGCTATACTACATAGTTTTCCTAATAAAAATAAAAAAAAGCCTATTCTCCCTCCAATTAAATTGGGCTGATCTGATAAGACCCACCCATCTACAAAGCCCAGTAAGAGATGAATCTGGGTTTTGGTCGTTGACTCGATTGTTTGTTTGGTTGGCGCCAGTTTTGTATGGAGACAAAAGAAGTGGTTATGGTGGAGACAAATCTGGGTTTTATCTATTTTTTACACTGTAGTCCCTTTATTTAAAATTATTCACATATGACATTACTAATATTTTTTTTGTTTATTCCAAAACTTTACTTGTAATAGAAACAAGTTTAAGAATTAAACTGTCCCACAGATTAAGGGACCAATTTTGTGGAACAAATCCACAAAAACCGAAACCCCCAAAGGAGCAGGACGAAATAAACAAACTAGTCATCGGCCGAGAATCTCGATTCTTGTTGCATACGTAGAATATTGTAATGTTTTTAAAAAAGTGATTTTAAATTGGTAATTTTTGTTATATGTATATTAATAAAATACAAATAAAATATTCCATTAATGTAAATGGTATTTTCATGTATCTATTAAGTATTTCAATTTGTTCACATTATATTACTAGTATTACAAGTATATAATTGGTATATGAAAAGTATTTTGGATATTAGTGATGTAAAAGTATGTGCATCTTAGTATTTTTAATGTATTTTTAACGTATATTTGATATACTTTTTGAGTTATGTTAATTTACTAATACTTCTATGTTTCGGTAAAAAATTTTTTTTGCTAAATTATATATATTTTTTCCTTTATCTAAAGACGTGGGAATTCACTACGCGCCAAAAATCTCCACGTTAACGGTCCTCTTCTGTGTGTTAGGCGCCAATCACCCCATTTAATTTCCTCCTCCTTTTACCTTATCATCATTCCATTCATTTTTTCTTTTTTCAACCATGGTATAAGTTTTTTACTTTCTTTTCCAACTTCAAAATAACTAAAAAATTAGAACTACAAGTTCAAAAGATAAAAATGAAATTGCTTACTATAATAATTGTCAGTTTTATGTTTAAGATGTATAAAAAACAAAATCTAACAAGTTGTCTCAAGTCTTATCTAAGTAAAAAAATATTAATTTGTATACTGAAAAATATAAACTATTCATGCAAGATTGCAACAACATTTGTTATCATATTTAAGAAAATATTGATCTAAACAACTACTTAAACATATTTTTTGAAACAATAGTTAGAAGCTTACAAGTTTTTTGGGAAGCTTGTAAGGGTATGACACTAGCTTCTGCAGAATAACTTATTGTAGAAATAAAAAAAATTAAACATTTCTAAAAATGGAATTATGTTAGAATCATTACATATGTTTTTATTTCCCTTGATCCCTCTCATGAAAACAAAAGCAAACCCACAAATCATTAAACTATCATAATTCCATAAGCAAACCCACAAATCATTAAACAAAATCAATGATAGTTAAGAGTACTAGTATATTTTACAAATAGCTGCGCCTTCCCTCCACAATCCACATATATAGCCGAACCAAATTCCCTCCTCTCTTTTGTTTCTTCCTTTCTTCTTCTTCTTCTTCCTCTCCCCTTCATTTTTTCTTTCCCTCGTTTTCTCCCCTTTCTCTCTCTTCCCGCTTTTTAAATTCCCTCTCCCAATATCAGATCTCATTTTCTTCTCCTATTCCTTTCCTTCCCTCTCCTCCAATTCCATTTTTTCCCACTCCCTACCCCCAACCACAACCCAAAACCTCAACAACCAAAATAGGGTTTTCAATTCCATCAATTTTCCCTCCACTATTTCCACTAAAAAATGAAAAAAGATTGAATTTTTAGGACTTTTAAACTCAAAAACCAAAAAGGGTTTTCAATTCCATCAAATTTTCCTCTACTTTTGTTACTAAATTTTTTGAAAGATTGAATTTTTCGGATTTTTTTCTCAGCTGGGGTTGTTTAAAAATCAAGAATTTAGCAAATCATGCAACCCCAACAACAGCAACAGCAACCATCTTTGAAGCGTCAGCTTCAGTTCTCATCCATTAAACCGGCTTTTGGTGATTACCACCGGTTTTCCACAGACCCGGTTCATTGTTCATCTCAAGAACCTCCTGCAGGAATTGTTGTCAAGACTCCTGTGAGCTTTCTTTCTGATTCTTTTGTGCCTTACTGATGTTATATAGAGGTTTAAATGTGATGAATGAACAGTTTTGTGCAAATTCTGCTATTGAATTTTGTGTATTTAATGGTTAAAGATAGCTTTATTGATTGCTCTAGTTAAGTTTTTTGGCTGGAAATTTGAGGTTCTGTGTTGTTTAAGTGAAGTCTTTAGTGCCTTAGCGATGTAATATAATAGGTGGTTATATGGGATAAAATGATTAGTCTTGGTGTAAAATTTGCTGTTGAATTTTGGGTATTAAATGGTTAAGAATAGCTTTATTGATTGCTCATTAAGATTTTGGCTGGAAATTTGAGGTTCTGTGTTGTTTAAGTGAAGTCTTTAGCGCCTTAATGATGTAATATGATAGGTGTTTATATGGGAGAAATGAACACCTTTGGTGTAAAATTTGCTGTTGAATTTTGGGTATTAAATGTTTAAAGTAGCTTTATTGATCAATCGTTAAGATTTTTGGCTGGAAAGTTGAGGTTTTGTGTTGTTTAAGACTTTAAGTGAAGTATTGAGGTGGGTTTGACTGGAAATCTTGCTTTATAGTCAAGCCTCTTGTGAGCTCTCCATTTTTTTGAGGGGTCGTTTGGTTTGAAGACAAGTTATCATGTGATTAGTTATGCTGGGATTGACTATTTGGTATGTTGTATTAATCCTGGGATTGTTAATTTTACTGCTTTATCCTGGGATTACTATTCCACCTTCTGGCAGCTATAAGTTATCCCGGTACTATTTTTAATCCTGGATTAGTAACCATAGTACTGAATTTTTATCCCAGTATTATTTTTGCTTATCCATCATACCAAACGACCCCTAAAGCTATACTGTGTATATTTTTGTGGTGTAAATAGATCAAAAGGATCTGGTTATGTAAAATCTGCTGTTGAATTTTGGATATCGAGTGTTAGACTGACGTGATAATTTTCGATATCGAGTGGTCAAACTAGCTTTATTGAGCTCAATTTGAGTTTTCCAATTGGAAAAACAAAGTGTGGGTTGTGTTGCTTAAATTGGCTTGAAGGTGCTTGATGAATTTATTTATTTTTGCTTTTTTAAACTTTGAAAGCTGTAATCTTTCTTGGCTCGATTAGAGGTTTTGCTATTTCAGCAGTGATGTTCTCATCTTTGTGTTTCCTCATTTAGTTTGTCTTTTGATTTTATGGATGTTGTAATTCCATAGAGTTTGATGAATAATCCATGGCAAAGGTTATACTTTTCTTGTGCTTGCAGACACTACGCACCAGATATTCATTTGGCCCTCTTATCATCTTAGTTGCGGCACCATTCTGTTTAAAGTATGAAAGTGTAAAAGAAAAAAAGCATATCATAGGATTCATCTAGTTCAAAACAATAATGATGTAGGAACAAATAGATAAGTTAGACGAAGGTGGAGGAAACAAGATTATTTTGTTTTGGTGGTCGAGATCTAAGTCACATTTGAGTAGTTGCTGGTGAAATTTCAAGGTCCAAGATTGCATAATGTGTTTGTATATATTAACTAGGAATTGTCATCCCTTTCCCCTTTTCCTCCGCATTTCGGCTAATAAATTGAGTGTGCCTTTCAAGATGGTTCACAGGCACGGTTTTGTAAGGACTAAAGTTTTAGGAAAGAGAGTTCCTCTGGCTTAAGCGTAGTTTTCTAAGTTAACATGAGAATAATAGCTGAGTCAGTTCTTCTCCTTTTTATTCTCTCTGAAGCTTCTTTTTGTCATTTACGTGTCACTACAATCCGGATAATGCTTCAGAACATCAGTCAGTCTTTAACTATGGTTTATTTTTTTTCTCCTCAAGCCAATATAAAAATTAAAGGATCTAAGTAGGACTCACCTAATAACTAGTGCGGTGTGACAAGTTTTCACATATTATTTGAACTGTTAATAATATGCACTTAGTATCTTCCATTTTTTATGCAAAATCCTTGTTAATTTAAATTGGAAAATCAGAGCTAGCCTATGCTGATTCAATGGAAATGATTGCAATTGACAAGTTTATATTTATATATCAGTTTCATATTCAGACACGATTTGTTTTAAATCCTTTAAATAAATTGCTGATAGAACTTGGGGACTCATTGTCTTATTCAGCCACTGAAGCGGAAGAGTGCGGCAGCAAATTATGGACAAGGGGTTGGTGACCAGAACCCAGTTTCTGAATATGCTAATGTAAACAGTCCTGTGCAGACACCAATGTCTGGAAAAGCTGGAAACACACAGAAAATTCCTAAGACTTCGAAAGCCAGATCTGCTTCTCAAGCTGTTGCATCCAATGCTGGTGAGGGTTTTCGATGTAAAAGTTTTTCTTTGAAATGTTTATGTACTTTATTTACTTTCAAAGGAGCATTCAGTATGGTAATCTTACTCGCTTCCGTAAGCCAGTACCTTATAATAATTGCTGTTTTCCCCCGCTTTTCCCTTCTCTCTCACAATCCTTATCTTTCTTGTTCACTTTGCTGAGACCAACCTTATCTATAAAAGCAGAAAATCACTAGTTCTAACTTTTGGTTATTGAATTTGCAGGATCCCCTTCAGGCAATGTTACCCCAGTTGGTCCTTGTCGATATGATAGCTCCCTGGGTAAATTAAAACCTCAATGGCATAATTATTACTTTGTCTTTCAATCTGTTATTTCTCTAATGTCTGGATTGTTGTTCTAAAGTGCATAGACCGTTGTGATTTATAGGATAGTTCACCGCGATTGCCTATTATACAGAAGAATTATGTAGTAAAACTGTACTTATGACAATATCTCTTAATTCTTATTCAGGTCTTCTAACAAAGAAGTTCATCAATCTAATCAAACATCCAGAAGACGGTATGCTTGATCTGAATAAAGCTGCTGATACATTAGAGGTATCTTCACGCTGATGCTATTATGCCGGTGACATGAGGTTTTTTTACCAGCTTTGTTTTATTTCTTCTAACAGGTTCAGAAAAGGCGTATATATGATATCACAAATGTCCTGGAAGGCATTGGTCTGATAGAAAAGAAACTCAAAAACAGGATTCAGTGGAAGTATGGGGAGAGATACACATCCAATTCAAATAAATTGCTTAGTTGTTCATCATTGATGTTTTGTGACTCAAGATCTTTCGAGGAAACAATGTTAAAATATCATTTGCATTATTATGTAGGGGTCTAGACGTCTCAAAACCAGGAGAAGCTGATGAGAGTATTGCAAGTTTACAGGTGAGGACGGTTACCCCGATGGCTGATGTGTTTTTTTTATTATCTTTTGAGACACATTTGACGGACTAAAGTGAAGTAGCCCGAGCAAAGGGGATCATACTCACAAGCATATCCCCGAGTCTCTTCAAAATATAGTGGAAATAGTTTTCACAAAGCGACTGTTTTAAGCATTCTAGTGCTCTTAATTTTAACTTGTATCTGCTTCCTAAAGAATGCTCACGTTATTTAACTTACATTCACCGTCTAGTATCAGTTTAAATATTGATTATCTACGAAATTGGAATGATAAAAATATGGGTGCTTCTTGTGTCATAGTCAACACTTATTGGTAGTTTGTACTTGTGAGAAGGAACGGGAGAAAATATGTTATTGATATTAGATGAACAATACAATATAAGAGGTCCTTCTTTATAGCTATACTATACAAGGACATACTACTCTTCTACCAATGTGGAACAATACTACACTATATACATGCTGTAAACTAACACTCCCCCTCAAGCAAGTGCATACAAATCATATGTAACTAGCTTGTTACATATATAACCAATACGAGGACCAGTGAGAGACTTGGTGAAAATATCTGCAAGTTAATCATTCGACCTCACAAACTTTGTAGCAATCTCTCCTGAAAGTATCTTTTCTCTGACGAAGTGACAATCAATCTCAATGTGTTTAGTTCTCTCATGGAACACCGGATTTGATGCAATATGAAGGGCAGCTTGATTATCGCACACAAGTTCCATCCGACTGATTTCACCAAATTTCAACTCCTTGAGCAATTGTTTGGTCCAGACTAGCTCACATGTTGCCATAGCCATTGCTCGATATTCTGCTTCTGCACTAGACCGAGCAACTACATTCTGTTTCTTGCTCTTCCAGGACACCAAATTTCCTCCTACTAAAACACAATATCCAGACGTAGAACGTCTATCAGAAGGTGATCCTGCCCAATCAGCATCTGAGTATCCAATGATCTGCTCATGACCTCGATCCTCAAAGAGTAACCCTTTGCCTGGAGCCGATTTTATATATCGAATAATGCGGACAACTGCATCCCAATGACTATCACATGGAGAATTCATAAACTGATTTACAACATTCACATGATAAGAAATGTCGGGTCTAGTCACTGTGAGATAATTTAATTTTCCAACCATCCGCCTATAGCTTGCAGGATCGCTAAGCGGCTCCATCGTCCTGGCATAAGTTTAGAATTCGGATCCATCGGAGTGTCAACAGGTTTGCAACCTATCATCCCCGTCTCCTCAAGAAAGTCTAAAGCATATTTTCTTTGAGAAATAACAATACCTGAGCTAGACTGGGCAACCTCAATACC